AATTTAACACCTGGACATAAAAAAAAAAAAATAGAAATAGAAGTCAAGATTCCTGAAAATGGTCCAGGAGTGCCCCCAGAGAGAAGGGTATGAAGTCAGGCCTGTAACGCTATAATCACATTAAGATGCTTTAGTCTTTTTTCTATTTATGGTTTAGAATTACAATTTACAAAAGCAGTGCGAAAAGTTCCAAAGCGAGTGTCTGAAGTGGGATATTTGTGTTTTGCATTGTCCAAGGCTGGTCAGTCACCAGCGGTGGCTCTGATGGGGGGACTGGAGGTGAGGCAGGTCACTAGGATGAAATTAAAGAGCATCTGTGGATGAAGCTCTACAACCTCAACACGGTTTAAATCCTGGAAGTGGCTCTTGTTATGTAATCTCTTCTCTCACAGGACGAGTGGACCCTGAGGAGCCATTCCGGAAGTGGCTCTGCACATTGCTTGCAGGCTGGCGCTGAGGGTATGCCAAAGTGGCCAGGTTTCTGAAAGAATACACCCATTGGCCAGCATAGGGGTTGATATTGCTTGGCTACTAAATTTTTTTTTATTTTTTTATTTTTAAGAGAGAGAATGGAAGGTAGGGGAGAGACACAGAGAGAGAGAGAAACATTGATGTGAGAGAGACACATTGATTGATTGCCTCCTGCATGTGCTCTGACAAAGGCCTGCAACTAAGGTACATGCCTTGACTGGGAATCAAACCGGGGACCCTTCAGTCCTCAGGTCAATTCTCTATCCACTGAGCCAAACTGGCAAGGGCCATGGTCGGCAAACTGTGGCTCGCGAGTCACATGTGGCTCTTTGGCCCCTTGAGTGTGGCTCTTCCACAAAATACCATGGCCTGAGCGAGTCTATTTTGAAGAAGTGGCTCTGTTGACTAATGAGTTTGCCGATCACTGGACTAGGGCAACTCACACTTTCTTAAGGCCTTCTGATTCCGGAGGCCTGTGTTGGACTGGGGCAGTTGGAACTTCCCTCCACCATCCATCACGAAGATCTTAGCACAGTGGGTTTACCAGACTAACCACTCATCTTTTTATACGAGACCTGAAGGCTGTGAGCGTCGGGAGAGGATGCCTTGGGGGGAACCAGGATGGGGCACCTCCTGAGGCCAACATGATGACTCCAAGCACCCAGAGAAGGGAGATGGTGCCTGAGTGACTTCCTGCTCAGGGGTGGCTCAGGTATTGCCTTTCTAAAAGACCTCTGAAGGCGGAACCCATCATCCTAACAGCACAGTTGAGAAACCCATACAGGAGATAAACTTGACTCAAGCTCCCAGCACTTTCCGGAACTGTGCTCAGCTTCAACCACAAGAGGGCAGACGTCGGCGGCAGATCCTCTGAAGAGCTGAGGAGAGCAAGCTCCCTCTGTCCATGCCAAGGGCCATCGACTACATGTTTAGCTGCTATTAGATAAACTCTCGTTGAGGAGAAACGTTTTAGATGTCATCACCATTCATTTAGAGCCTTGTTATAAAAGAATATGTAAGAGAACATGTAGAAAATCTTGATTTTTCTATTTGTTTTTACTGTCAACGGTAAGTTGTTAAGAAAACACACAAACTACCCTAATTTCACTAGTTACTGTTTGCAGTGTTGAAGAAAAACTTTTAAGAGTGGAGTCAGAGGCCCTGAATTCTAGTCCTCACTCTATTCTTAAAAAAAGATAACTGGACCCTGAAAAACCACCTGCTGGGACCCCAGTTTCCTCCTCGGACAATGAGAAGACAGGACTGGGATGAACTCTGGGGTTCCATCCAGAAACGAAGGCGCGGAATGAAATTGCGGTGGGGAGTGCAGGCTGAGTAGCATGCGGTGGGCGTATACGTAAGGCCTGCACGCTTCGTTTGCACAGCACACTTGGGGAATGGGCCATTCCACATGATGAGTTTTCCAGATAATTGAATTTTAAATGCTGAAACTGGTTTCCCTTTAACCTTTTGTCATGGAAATCCTCCTAAAGTGTATTACATGCTTCTCTGGTCTCGTAAACATCATTTACCCTTTCCTGACTTATCTCCAGATCATCATGATGACCACTTCTTACTATAACTACATGCAAATGACCGGAAATGGGGTAGTCTTTCCACAGTGACAGCAAAGCCTCCACCCTGAAGAGAGCGCTGGTGGCTTTGGGCATATGCAGGTAGGCAGGACCCTCCTGCTAACTGGCCCCAGACCCTATTAAAAAGCTATAATTGGCAATCCTTCCTTTCTTCCATCTCCTACCTCACCACCTGCAGTCATTTCTCCAAGTAACACCTTCTAGCAGCCTCTTGACACTGGGTTTAAAATCTGCTATAATCTAGATAGAACTCAAGGTTGCCATGGGTTACCAGGGCCTGAGCTTGTAACAACCCTAAATTTAATTTTACACAGTTTAAAGCCAGTGGGTACTGTGCTGAAGGTTGCTTCTGGCCAGGGCTGATCTTCAGCTAGTCCACCCAGTATGCAATGCTTCTAGACCAGTTGGCCAATCACCCTGAGCCCCCGGGCCCTCCAGCCAGCCCAGGAACCGGTTCTTGCATGTGCTGACATTCTTTCCATTTCTTACCACGCCATACTGGTTGCTCAATATTGGAACATCAGCTTTGTTTCTGGGTTGAAGATTATTCTCTCCTGCTCAGTACATTGCCAGGGTTTGAAGCTCTTCTCTGTCCCTCAAACTCAAAGGCCTTTTCCCCGTTACATTGCTAACGAGGTTGGGTGTTAAATTGCCTGGCTTGTGTGGCTCAGTGGTTGAGCAGCAACCCATGAACCAGGAGGTCACGGTTTGATTCTAGGCCATGGCCCATGCCTGGGTTGCGAGCTCGATCCCCAGTGGGGGTCATGCAGGAAGCAGCCAATCAGTGATTCTCTCTCACCACTGATGTTTCTATCTCTCTTTCTGAAATCCATAAAAACATATGTATTTTTAAAAAGCCACCTTTGATTGAAAATCTACCATGTGCCAGATGCCAAGTCAGTACATTATATAAACCATCTTATCTCATCCACTAAAGGACCCTGTTGGGGAAGAGAATCAGCCTCCGTAGCTGAGAAACCTGCCCCTCTCAAGGCCAGTAAGTGGGTCTGGGAGTCAGACCCGCCCCTCTGAGGCATGCTCTTTGCACTGCCCTCTGCCCGAGTTTATGAACGCACAAGCAAGTCCAGTCAAGGGTCACATCCTGAAAAATATATTTTCAGTGAAACATGGGCCCTTTTGCTTTTCAGAAAAGGCTACTTGTTTTTGGTGTGTGGGTTGTGTTCTAATTAATTCCACATTTTGTTACCAATTTGGAGCACTCTGTCCTCAGGGAACAGAGCGGGCGTACTTATAGAAAGCTAGCTGAGGGAGGGAGGGAAGGAGAGACTAGGCTATAAAGTGTCTGTAGGATCTAATAAATAAAAAAAGCCTCCCCAGTTCTCCCTGCACCAAACAGAAGTAAATAGAACATTCTAGAAAGGCCAATCTTCTCCAGAGTAGGGGTGATAGAGTCACAAACAAAAAACGTTGCTCTGTGTGTTACCAGCTATGCCTGCAAAATGGAGCATGTGCTATCAATCATAATAGGATCCGTCCCCACCCCCAAAAGTTCTCTGAACGTTCCCTCCAGAGTGATGCAGTTACCATTCGAAAAACGAGGGGCTTTCAGAGCTACAGGGGGATCCTGGAAGCAAATTGCAGACCTGAGGAGTCTCTGCCAGTGACAGGGCAGGGATGGGTCTATGGCTTGGGGACAGGCACAGATTTAACTTTGGAACTGGCTCTGGGGACCAGAAGGATGCCAAACCCATGGCTATGAATTCTGTCCTATCCCCAGGGAAGAATTTTTCAAATTGACCCTAAGCTAATTTTTAAAATAAACAAACCATGACCTCATCTTCCACATGTTGCACCTGCTCCTCCCACAGCTAACACACACACACAACAATTTTCAATGTTCTCTCCCAAAAACATTCACAGGATTCTAGTTTCCAGAGTAACTCTTACCAGGCAGGGAACTGACAGAAAAACTAACTAGCCACAGGTGACAGGGCCAAAAACCTCTGTGTATTAGTGTCCTAAGGCTGCCATAGAAAAGTACCACAAACTGAGTGGGGGAAGCCACAGAAATGTATTGTCTCAGTCCTAGAAGCGAAAAGTCCAAGATCCAGGTGTTGGTGGAGCCATGCTCCCTGTGAGGGGACAGGGAATCATATACTCCGGGCCCTGATCCCAGCTTCCAAGAGGTCAGGCCAGGGCCCGTGCCCGGGTTGCGAGCTCGATCCCCAGTGAGGGACACGCAGGAAGTAGCCAATCAGTGATTCTCTCTCATCACTGATGTTTCTATCTCTCTTTCTGAAATCCATAAAAACATATATATTTTTAAAAAGCCATCTTTGATAGGAATCTACCATGTGCCAGATGCCTAGTCAGTACATTATATCAATCATCTTATCTCATCCACTAAAGGATGTGGAACAGCATCAGTGTTGCTACACTTGTGGCAGCAGTAACTCCTATCTTCACACATCTCCTGTGAGAGTGTCTTTGCCCTTTTAATAAGGACACTGTATTGGATTGGGGCCAATCCTCTACCACCTGGCCTCATGTTAAGTAATTAGGTTGGCAATGGCCTTCTTTCCAAGTAAGGCCATGTTTGGAGGTACCAGGGATTAGGACTTTTTCAAAGTCTAAATAAAAGATTTGGGGTGACACAGTTCAACCCATAACATCACCTAAGATAGTTCTGAATTCAAATTTGAACTCAAGAGAAGGAACAAAATGAATTGCCCAACAGCTCACCTTATATTATAATCGTAAGTAATATAGTATGGGTGATTTCTCATGTTAGCAGGTCGGTGGGAAGTTGGTGTGCTGACCCCTGACATCTGCTAATTGCAAGGGTGAATCGAGGAGAACCGCTGGCTGATGTGGGCTCTCTACAGAACCCTAATTCCTGCTCGCCACATTTTAGGACAACACCTACTAAGGCATGTGCAAACACTCAGTGTTGAAGGAAACCCTGCCACTTACCTGGCCCCAGTGACATCCACACCGACCATCAGCTGCCCATTCAGGGAGAGGATCTCGTCTCGCAGCCGGACCTTCCCGCTCTTCCCTGCCGGGCTGTTCTTCCTCAGCTCGGTCACCCAGATGCAGCCCACGTCCAGCACGGGGCCCTGGTGGGTCTTCCTCTTCTTGCCCCCCCTGCGCTTTTCCCCGTAGTCCCCGAACACAGGGATGTTCCCGAAACTGAGGCCCACCGTCTCCGCGTCCCCCAGCTCCTTGGTGAGGTACACGGTGCAGATCTCCATGCCCGGGGGGCTGCGGTCAGGGGGCACCGCGCTCTCGTCCACCGCGAAGTTCAGCTGGATGTACTCGCGCAGCTTCTGGATGGCCGCCTGGCACAGCCGCTGCTCCGGGCCCGCCCCGCCCTCCCGCAGGCTGTTGTCCAGCCACCGGCAGAGCAGGGGCAGGTGCAGCACCGCGTTGTCCTGGGTGATGGGCATGGCGCTCACTCCCGGACACCAGCATCATGAGAGGACCTGCTCCTGGGGGCCGGCCCCCGCGGGGCCCCACATCCCCTGGGGACCCTGGCTGTCATCAGTTGGGGTCATGTTCAGGCTGGCAGACGAGGGGCGCCTGCTGGAGACGGGGCTGTTTGCCGTGACAAGGGGAAGACAGGACACACACACTGACAGTGGGATGATCTTTGCAGCCGTGGTGCTCAGCGAGGGACAGAAGGAAGCCTGCGACAGGTCTCTGCTTGGTTCACATCACAGCAGGGCCTGTGCAAAAGGCCCAGCAATGGGAAAGCCCTTCATGGGCGGCAGCGTGGCCTCCCCCGGATTCATTCACACCTGGAAGAGGAAAAAACAAAAAATTCCTTCCAGTCACAACAGTGAGCCTTCTCACACAGAACACAAGGCCTCTTGTATGGCTGAAGGCAATGTTTGCTTTCTGAGCCAGAAGCCTGAACGCAGCTCCCCATCGCCCCAGCTCGGCTCCCTCCGCGCAGTATACACACACACACAGATAGGCAGACAGACAGACACGCAAACATACACACCCCCTTCCCTTCCAGACATCCCTGGAACATTGGCCTTCTCCAGAAAGTTTCCCTGACCAGCGTGGAAATGAGATGACTTTTGCCAGGACAACCCCCACCAAGCTCACATCCAACAGGAGGATGTGGGATAAGACTCCATAGAAGATCGTAGAGGGGTTCTGGAAACATTGAAGACCTTATTATATTCCTAGGAAGTTGAAATCTATCTCCATTTGCCTTGACCTGTCCAACTGCAGACATGGGGAGGCTCTCCATTCCAGAACTATGTTCTTACAATGCTACCGAGAGGAGCAACAGCAATCAACCGCACAGAGAGACTCAGGCACGGCCCGAGGACAGCACCAGTCCTGAGCTCAGCTGTTGACTCCACCTTCATCATGTAGGTCCACAGGCATCCTGTCCCTTGGCATCCTACAGCTCTCAGTCTCCTTGCTTCCTTTCCGTTGGAAAACTGTCAAAACCAACCTACCCAAAGCCTTCTCCTCCAGAGAAATATTTCCCAATGCTTCTGGGTGAGAGGACTCAGCCCTCCCTGGCTGGCCTTTGAGTGCAGGTCTTAGCGCCATGATGCACTCACCAGCTTGCAGGGCAGGCTGCAGCAGAGGGCTGGGGCTGTCCTGCCCCCACTGAATCTTGCACAGTGCAGGGCACATCACTGCTCCCCCCACACACACCCGGGGAAAGGTTAATTGAATTTCATCACCAGTCCTTCTTCTCCACCAAAGAAAATTTTCACCTTCATCCCCTGTAAATGCAGAAAAATGACCCCTTTCACTCTCTTCTCTGAACCTCACTTTCGCCCAGAGAAAGTCAATAGAAACTGTGCCATCAAAGATGGAAAACATTCTTCACCTTCTCAGGAAATGATTTAACAAGAAATAATAATAAATGGGAGAGGTGTCAGAAGCCATGTCAATAATAAATAACCTTATTACCCAGTAACCATAAAGAAACGTCTCGTATTGTAAGTTTTGATTTTCCAGAGAACTCGAGGGCCAGCTATTAATGGGTTCCAAATAAATTAAAAGCTTAGCAAATATCATCTACATAAGCACATGCCTACTACAAAAAATGCAAAAAAAATCAAAGAAAAGATAATCCATAAACACACAAAAATGGAATGTTACCTTTGGCCAAAATAAGTAACACCTCTCACTGAAAAGCAATGCCATACAGACATTTTAAAATCCTGTGAATAAGTCAGAACATTTTCCATCAGCAACCTTTCTAAGTCTCCTTTTCCTCATCTGTAAAATGAGAAAATTAAGCTAAGTGATCTCTAAGGTCTCTCAAACTGCACAGAGTGATTCTCAAATGCAGTGACTTTGTCGTATTCAGCAACATACTCCCTACTCCAGCCCAGTGCCTGTCACCTTGCAGACTCTCCATGACTTAAAACAAGTTTTTAAAAAGATGCTTTAAATTCAAATTTTAATGGTCTGTGGTATCATTCAAGGTGTTAGTCTCAGTCCCAATGATTCCATACATATGAAAATGGGATACATATCTTGGGCAAGATACTCTTTAAGTCTAATAGAAGAAAACCAAACTTAAGAGCAATCGAGAATTTTTTTTCCTGATGTCAACTTGTATTCACTCAATACATATTTATTGAACATCAATTAAGAACCAGGCCTTGCGGAAACTGATTTGGCTCAGTGGATAGAGCGTCGGCCTGCAGACTGAAAGGTCCCAAATTTGCAGTCAAGGGCATGTACCTTGGTTGTGGGCACATCCTCAGTAGGGGGTGTGCAAAAGGCAGCTGAACGATGATTCTCTCTCATCGATGTTTCTAACTCTCTATCCCTCTCTCTTCCTCTCTGTAAAAAAATCAATTAAAAAAAAAATATATATATATATATATATATATTGTGTGTGTGTGTGTGTGTGTGTGTGTGTGTGTGTATATATATATATATATATATATATATATATATATATTTTTTTTTTTTTTTTTTTTTTTTTTTTTTAAAGAAGAAGAACAACCAGGCCTTGATCTTGGCACTAGGAATATTCTGTTAACAAGGCCAATTCAATGCATAAATAAATGGAAAGTAGCATGTAATAAGTCTATGACAACCCTTTTAACAGAATCGACAGAGGTACACTCCTGCAGCCATAGTCATGTAATAAGCCCAAGCCCTGCCCTGGGATGGGGCCAGAATTGGGCATCTCATGCAGGTGGACTAGAGTTTGCTCTGAGAACTGAGCCCCAGGGCCTAGAGAACAAGGGTCTAATCTCAAGTGTTTAGTGAGAACTATAACTTGTGAACTAGGGATTGTGGATGGCAGTATTCTACCTGCTGTGTTAACTGAGTAGCAAAAGAGCCATCTTGCCAAGAAATAAAATTGACCAGTAGAAGGCAGAGGTGCAAGGCTAGGGAACGAGGGCGCTCTGGTTCCCCACAGCCATCCTGGTCTTAGCTACAGCCATCCTGGATGGGTGATGCAGTGCTGACCCTCCATCTGAAAGAGCATATCAATCCTTGCAATAAATTACATTTTTAAAAGTTAACTACTTAAAAGAAAGAAAAATGGTAAAGAAAAATGGCACTAAAAAAACCCACAAAACCTAACCACACCTTTTAACGAAAACAAATGCTACCTTGATTTTTTTTCTAGAATTTTCAACTCAACAGTTGTTAAATGACACACTAGAGGAGCAAAGCTGATTGGCTTAGCTTGAAGCAGTTGTCCATCTGTTTTCCAGCCAGTTATGGCCAAGGGGTGGAGTCATGAGATTCCCATATGGTGCCAGGAGCTCACCCTCTGACCCTGAATCTAGTGAGGGCAGGAAAGGAGTTTTCAGAAAAATGAAAAATTATCAAGTGTACAGATACCCTCAAGGACCACAGGTTTTACTTTAATATATATAATTGATTTCAGTGAGGAAGGGAGAAGGAGAAATAGAAACATCAATGATGAGAGAGAATCAATGATTGGCAGCCTCCTGCATGGCCCCTATGAGGCATCGAGCCTGCAACCTGGGCATGTGCCCTTGACCAGAATCAAATATGGGACCTTTCAATCTCCAGGCCAATGCTCTATCCACTCAGCCAAACCGGTCTTACTTTGATGTTCATGGGCTATAGAACTTTTCAATTCCATACCTGTAATTGGGAATTTTCCATTAATCCTTCAAGCCTCCTGTTCTATAAATGGCTTTCCCTGGGATTTTCTATAAACAAGGGAAGCAGAGCTATTCCAATCCACTTCAATAATTTGGGATGACTCAGGGTATAAGAAAAGGTGCACAATTTTTCAACAGTATGTAAAATACTGGATATTCCAAAATATCCAGGAAACATTCCAGTGAACAAAACATTGACCCAGAGATAATACAGAAGAACAGAACTTGGCAAATGGTTACATACTGACATCCCTGTTTGGCTGATCCCAAAAAGATCTCAAAGCCTCTCATCCCGAAGATCAATCCACATCAACAGCGAGCAGCACTGTGGAAGTGGAGGTCTGAGGCCTGGTCCCATGCACTTCTATCATTTATAATTCTCCAGTTAGAGTCTCATCCCAAGCAAACAGCCATGATAATTTAAATTAATGTTGAGTAGCCTGAAGCTGACAGCCTTAGCATTCAAAATAAATGCTTCTGTGACTAAGGTAATTGATACTGTGTTTAATGTCTACCTACTTTCTTGCATTCCCTTTCAGCTAACTTGTGCACTCACAACAGGGAGATGTCACTCACGAGGGGGTGGAAACCAGTTCGGGGATGGGGGAAGGGGGACGCGAAAAAGTCTTAGCTATTCCAAAGGTCAGTGCCTCGCCTCACAAAGCTCAGTCCCATCTGGAAAAAAAAAAAAAAAATCTTACTCCTTAGTGTTTAATTTCTGTGTTCCAGAATTCAATTTAATTTAATTTTTAAATTTTAACTTAAATACATTAAAATCTTTTCTCTGGGGTGAAGAGCATGGGACAAGAATGAAAATGGCTGAGAAAACTTGAACTAAGTGAAACCAATCACAGGCCAAAGAGCATAGGCTAAGCCTTGAACCTGACTGCAGTTATCCAGACCTCGTTTCAGAATCAGATGCACAGTAGGCTGTCTTATTAGAACTCCCTCTTGGCAAACTGTCCTGGATTCTTGTCACCCTCCTATGCTGACCTCTGCTAAGTTCCAAGTTCCTAAATCTTCATCTCATCTTCCTCCCTTCTGGACTGGATCCCTCTTTTGACTTTTAGAAAATGTTCCCTAGTTTAAAAGAAAAAAAAAAGTATTGATTCAATACCTGCTAGTCATTTATTCAACTGAGGTTCATTGAGTGAGTGCCATCACTTGTTGGGCCCTGAACAAAACAGACAGCATTCCTACAAACCTTCGTGAAAGAATGGTGAATTAGTAAAGGTAAAATACTACAACATCGATGGTAATTTGTACCATGAAGAGAACTGTGGTTGTATCAGAGGCTAGTGAGTGACGGGGACATGGGGGAGAGGAAAAAGGCCCCTCTGAGAAGAGACCTGAATAAATGAGAGACTGAGGAGAGAGAATACTTGCGGGAAGACTGTTCTCAGACAGGGGGCAGACTCCAAGGTGAGAGCCTGCTTGGCTGCCTGAGGAAGAGAGATGATGGGTGTGGAAATGCCCCTAGTGAGTTGGATTGGAAGTTTCCCCACCATCTTATTCTTTCCTCCAACTCTCACAATCATCTTGTAAAACAGGGCATCTGACTCCATTTCCCCAACACCGGCAGGGCTAAATGTTGTCGATTTGCAGCTATTATTGAGCTCCTGCTTTGATGTGGAGGCACCAAAAACAGCAATAAAAACACA